TTTTTTTTTTTGTCACCCCGAAAAGAAAATGTGAGTGAGACGTCAAACTTCAACCATTTCGAAAGGTTCCAGAAAATCACGACACATGTTAGAATATTGCAATTTGTTTCATCAGCTGGGCTTTTACATTTTATATTTGTCCACCAGCTTCCGTGTATCCATTCAAAGCATGCTGCAAAATTCTCTTTCTGAATTCTTTCTCCAATGCTCCGGAATCACAATCAATGTTGTGATATCAAACCAAAAAGCATCAGTCCCTTTTTCAATTTTTAAATTTGTCCACCAGATGATGTTCCGTTTTCCCCCATTTAAAGCATGCAGCAACATTTCACAGCTTTCATATTTTTTTCAGACTAAAATATTTCGTCATGCTTCGATTGTTTTTGTCCACCCGATGGCGTTACTGCAACTCCGATTCAAAGCATGCGGCACTTGTCATTGTTTTCTGCAAATTGTGCTCTGTTACTGCTTCACAAATGACCAACTCAACAGGAAATCTGCGCAAGATGGTCAAATTCAGGGCCCGCGTCCTCAAAGGGGGAGGAGTGTGTTTGTGAGTGTGTGTCTGTGTGAGAGAAAAAAGAATCTTGTCTTTTTACCGAAAGCCGCTGTGGCGCCAAACTCCCGATACATATCATGATATTCAAAAAATAGACAAACTAAAATGTTTCAGCCACTCTTCCATATTTGTCCACCAGATGGCTCTACCCTCCCCCACCCCCACCCCAAATCAGGGCATGCAGAAGTCTGCTTTGCATCTGAAATGTGTTTGCAAGTGAATATTGAATAGATTTGAAATGGCCAAAGTCAAGGAGAAATCTCCAAGGGTGCATTTCTGAAGTTGGAAGGGTGTGTGTGTGTGTGTGTGTGTGTGTGTGCATGTGCGCGTGTGTAAATCCCTGCATTGTGCTTCTCCAAAGCCCCCCCTGTGTGCCCCCCTCCTGCGGTGAGGAGTGCTCATCTGGTGTCATAGTCATGGAAATGCCTTGACCAGCTTGTCGCCGTCTGCTCGTCCACCAGGTCGCCTCTCCTCTGGTGTCTTTTCATTTCAAGAGGAGACGCAACAAGTCCGCAAATATGAAAGTCACGTGGGTGCTTGTTGTGCAAAAACTAAGTTTGCTGCTCTCCCTCTCGCGCAATCGCGCTGTAAGCCGGAGCAACAAAGCCCGCATTGTCCATTTGAGTTGGTCTGGGATCAGGTGCTACATTCGCTTGTTAGCGCAGTGAGCACAACAAGCGCTTGAAACGTGGACACCATCGGAAAACAGTCCAAGGTGTGACATTGCTGCATGCTTTGAATGGCGTGAGGAAAGCAGCCACATCTGCTGCACAAATGGATTGAAATTTAAGAAAGGATGACATGATGTTTAGTTCTGTAAAGTGCTCAATCGACGTTTTGGTGGTGAGGTACCACTTGAGGAAAACTGTTATATGGCGCAAAGTTTTGGCTGCATGCTTTGCGTGGACAAAAAGTTGCAGCGTCTGATGAGCAAATCGAAAGGCGATTGTCCAAATTGAAATCTTAAGAAAGAATTACTTTTGATCATTTGAGAGAAATGTACGCTCAACGCTGACATTTTCAATGTGTGTGTGTGTGTGTGTGTGTGTGCGTGTGTGTGTGTGTGTGTGTGTGTGTGTGTGTGTGTGCTTAATCTC